CATCCATCCATCCATCCATCCATCATCCATCCATCCATCCTAGACCAGCATAGAGACATAGTCTCTCCAGGGTCTTCTCCTAGTTGGACCTGTCCATAACACCTCTGTCCCCTCAGTGACACTGCTCTGGGCCTCCTGGGGGGTACCAAGGTTTTCCCAGACCAGACAGGTCCTAATAATAAGAGTTCTGTCCTGTAAAACCTCCAGAGGTCCAGTATTCATCCTAATCAGATACCTGAACAGCTCAGCTGTTACCAGTGAGGAGCACCAACTCCAAATTTATCTTTACGAAGTAAAACCCAATAAAACCAAGTATCAGGTCTGCTGAGATCAACCTGCATCGTTTCTGCGCCTCGATTCTCTAATCTGGAGACACACAAACAATCAGAAGCTTTACTTGATGTCAAAACAAACGGAACGTCTCAGCCCAGTTTTATGATGTTGATGTTGACCAGGGGTGCCCAACCTTTTTTGAACCAAGAGCTACTTTTGAAGTCAGCGGTTTGCTGAGATCTACTCGTCCAGTCTCAGTATCAAAAAAACATAATTTTTCGTCTCCCTACTCGCTTCTTTAAATAAAACAGAACGTAATGTGTTGCTAGTTTTATTTAATTTAAAGTATTGTCAAACAAAACTATCTACTTAACCATATATTTACCTACAACAAAAAAAGAAAAGATAAAATCCTTACTTCACTCCTGACAGAGAAACAGAAARGTGATGCTCGAACAAAAAGGATCATTTTTTTACCTCCTTCAATTAGTACTCCCTGTAACGTGCGAGCTATGATGGGTGGAAACCTGCACACTGAGAGAAACACAGACTTAAATAACTTTGGAGCAGGGGAACTTGTCTCCATTTATTCAAAGAACTCTCCTCTCTTTCTCTCCATACAGGGGAGGAAAAACAAAACATAAAACTAAAGTCAAAGCACACAATATAAAACTCTTGTTTATACTATTTGTAGGGGTTTTGGGTATATTCTAAAATAGATAATTTGTGAACTCACAAATTAGCTTACCTCGAGGCACCACGCTCTTAATTCGATCAAGGATTGACCCAGGAAAGAGAYGAAAAACTGYAACTTTATTGTAATCAGTCTCAMAATAAATGTACCCAAAATGRTTTGATGAGKTCTTGTCCTTATCAGAACCAATAATACTTTATCAAGACACAAAAATGAGATTAGCTTATGTTGGTTTGTTCTCCACRAGCCATTTATTTACAGCTTAAATGTATTTACAACTATGGCGAGTAATGAGTGATGACATAAYTGAACCATGTAGAAACAGAAAGAGTYTGCAATCAYGAGTGAATAASGACAAAACAAACAAACAAATAAACAAACAACAAATAAACATAACATAAGCACTGAGAGGTGAGTTTGAGGCTTGGAGTGAGGTGAGGCGAGTTTGCTTTTAGCTGAGGTTTTAACTAAGNTGAATAATTCAGGTATTTTACAGATTAATTCACATTATTTTCATCTTGTAAAAACAGTATAAATTCAGGTAAAGAACTGTAATTCTATATTTAATTAGAACAATGTATTAAAAAGCCTTGTTATGTTGACTCGTGGAGTTTTATTTATAACAAAAACGTTCAAACCTGCAGAGTCAGACCAGTAAAAACCATTAATCATTAAACTTGAGTTTGAGTCGAGGGCAGAGAGTAAAGTTGGTCTTACCTGTGGAGCAGAGCTCAGGTAACTCACCCTCGATTTTCACTTTCTTCAAGCTCTTCTTCCGACCGGTTTGAATAAAAACTCAGCTGTGAACCGACGGCAGAAAGAAAACAGAAAGAGGAACAAAGAGGTCACTTAGAAGGACGTCCTCAGTCCTGCTGCTGAGGTAATTAATCTGCAGGAAGTGTCAAAGTAAATGATTTAACACAAACAAGAGGGAGTGTTTCTGTTCAAGATCTGGTGCATTCATCGTTGTGTCGACGCTTTAAAAACCAGATTAGTTTACAGGTGKTTTTTTTTCCTCCTGCTCTGGAATGTGGCTTTAAAGTATGTGATCCTGCAGCCAAGAAGAGCAGGATTTATTAAAACGTGTAAGAACTGAGCTGACTTGCAGCAGCCTGACTGCAGGATGTAGAGTTTTAGGATTTAAATAAAAAAAAAATACTGTCTTTTTAATGAGATGAACCTAAAGTATTGATAAACCAACTCTTTATTTATTAAACTCTAAATGTTAAACCTACAGCTCTGAGACCATTATTGATTAGATTAGTTCTTAACTGAGACAGATTACAATATGTTACAGTAAATAACCAATGATTTACAGCAGGGCACTCATCTACTGGAGTCCCACAAGGATCCATACTTGGACCACTGTTTTTCAGCTTATACAATAATGAACTCCCGGTTTGTGACAATGAAGGTATTCAAGTGTATGCAGATGATGAACATGCCTGCCTCAAGTTAAATGTTTTTAAAACAGTTGGCCTGTATTTTACTAAAAGACTATAATAATAGTTTATTTGTAAAGCACCTTTTTAAACAAATGTTACAAAGTGCTTTACATTCAAAAATCAATGAAAACAACTCCATAAAAGGCACATTATGAAACACAAATAGTATACCAAATTAAGACAAAATAAAATAATTCAAAAGATATTAAAATAAATAAAAGCCTTATTATAAAAGTAAGTTTTAACTAATGATTTAAAAGAAGACAATGAAGAGGGCTGTTTAATATTTAGCGTTCCACAAACTGGGAGCCCCGACCATAAAGTCCCTTCCCCCTCCTGGCACCGGTCGAGCTCTGGGAGTGGAAAGGAAAAGTTGATTTAAGGATCTGAGATCGCGAGATGGGATATAAGGGGTAAGAAGCTCAGAAAGATAAGATGGCACTAGACCATTCAARGATTTAAAAMCAAACAAGAACATTTCAAAATCAGCTCTGAAAACCACAGGGAGCCAATGCAAAGAGGACAGAACCAGGTGATGTGCTGGTGTTTATGGAACTGTATGAGAACTCCTGCTGCAGGGTTTGGTATTAGTTAAAGACAACTGAGAGGACTTTGAGACCACCAGAAAATAAAGAATTGCAATAATCAAGATGGCAGGAGACAAAAGCATGAACAAGTTTCTGCATCAGTGAATGAAATAAAAGCTCTGATTTTGGCAATGTTCCTGATTTGAGAAAGGGTTGTTTTAGTGATGTTCTTTAAATATTTGAATAAAAAAAAAAACTAAGATCAGAATCAAAGGTCACACCCAAATTTCTGGATTCATGCAGTTAAAACCAAGAATATAAAGGGACTGAGCTATTAGATCCTGTTTGGCCTTTGACCCAAATATCACCTCAGTTTTTTCAGTACTGAGTAAAAGATAATTATGGTGATGATTTAATAGCCAAATAAATCTGGTAATCGTCTGCATAGATATGAAAAGAAACATTAAATTTATGAATAACCTGACCAAGAGGCAGCATGTAAATAAAAAATAATAATGTCCCAAGAATGGACCCTTGGGGAACCCCACAGGAGAGAGGAGCTGAACTGGAGGCAGAAGTTAAAAGTTCTGTCATGTAGATGAGATTTAAACAGCTCAGAGCAGTGTTTCTAATACCTGACCAAAGATTTAACCTGTTTAAGAGAATATCATGATCAGCTGCATGAAACACAGCAGAAACATCCATCAAGACATCAACAGCATCTGAGTTCCTCTGAATATCATTCATAACCTTTAATAACACAGTTTCTGTACCGTGACGTCTACGAAACCCAGACTGAACTCTTCAAAAAGCAAGTTTTGGTTTAAATAAATTAAAACCTGAGAGGAAACCACTTTCTCGAAATATTTTATCAATAAAAGGTCATTTAGAAATCAGCCTGAAGTTATTTAGATTGTTACGATCCAGGTTTCTTCAATAAGGGTTCGACAGCAGGTGTTTTAAACATTTTGGGACGATCCCTGTGGACATTTGTTAAAAACTGTTCAGATGTCAGGAAGTAGAAAGATATAAACAATCTTAAAACATGTTGGTAAGACATCTAAGAACAAGAGGAAGGTTTCTGTTGTTACTAAATCAGCCTGAGTTGGTTAAATGAAGGAAAACAGTGATTTACCTCTTCATACTGAACAGAAGAGGCAGATGGCTGAGCTATTTTATTCATAAAATAACAAAGTAACACATCTCTCCTAAGATAATCCATTAGAAATAGGTGATTTATGAATAAAAGCGTTTATGTATCGACTAAATGTTTTGGATTACATGAATTTGACGCAGTGAGAAATATTTCTGTTATAATCTTTAAAAGGGGTTTCAAGATAAAAAATAAAAGTCGCAGCTCAAATTCAGAGATTTGTTTTTCCTCCAACATAAGAAAATACACCTGGATACACCTGACGCACATTTTTATTTTGGGAGAGATCACGTTGGTCAAACACCTGTTTATTTACCTGGTGGACAAGTGTTCAGTAAAAACAGCCGATGCACCCAGGTGGACCTTTACCACCTTGGGATTCTGTTGGACACAAATTAATTTTTAGAAGATAACAAAAATACATGAATTTAACCTCGCACATTTTAGGTGTTTAATTTACTGTTTGTTGAACTTTTCTGCACAAATGTTTATGAATATTGATTTAACAAGCTGGGCTCAGGCTGACTCATCGACACTAAAACCAGTGTGCAAACCATGCATGCTGCTGTGTTTGTGTACCATTTGTGTTATGGCTCATGTTGTCATTCACCTCTCTATGATGCCATTACCACTGTTCCTGCTGCTCTTTAAATTATTACCTCACAGCTTGAGTTCCATGTTGCTCTGGGGTTAAACYGGGACGTGGGTCCATGAACGACAGCAAAGCCTCTTTGATCCTTGGTTGTTTGAACTCTTCTGTCCGGTGTTGTTTCAGGTCGTTCTGCTCTGCTCTCCACCACCGTGCTGAGCACTGCACGGTCTGACCTTCAGGGTGAGTTTCCCCATCATCAGTGTGTGAATGACACTTTGGAGTCCATGTACCATCTCCGTCCAGCAGATGGCGATACAGACTAAATTTTGTCTTCTGGAACATTTTTTATTTGCACTTCCTGTTTACTGCATGCTGCTCTGAAAGGTGTGACAATGGAATTGTCTGTTAGCAAAATATCTCCTGAACAGCTGGCTGAATTTTTGAACAAACTCTGAAGAAGCAATCATTAGATGTTCAGAGTTAACCAGATTCAAGATGGCCGCCACAGCTAATCAAACTTAGCAAACAAAAAACATCTTTAACTCAGTTCATTTTACACACGATAAAATGTGGTGTGGTAGTAGCTGAGAGTTATCCCATTCCTTCAATAAACACAACTTTCATTGACCCAATGTTTGAATTTATGTTTTCTCAGATGGTTTATGGCTAAATTCTGATTTTTAAAATATTTTTCTAATGATTCAAAGTATTTAAAAGTTGTCAAAATAAAGAGCAGACAGTAAACATTTGGGAAACTCAGTTTTATAAGATTAAAACAAGACTTTTATTTGACAGAAGTAAAAATTTAATTCACAAGTTTCAGATAATATCAATAAACGGACAAAAACCTGCAGCTTTGAACCAGAAGAGTTAAACAGGAAGTAGTTTGTCTAAATGAGTTTAGACTTTTATTCTGAAAAGATGTTTCTGAGTTAGCTGGATGTGATTGTCTGATGTTGACCGGTGGAGGTTTTTTTTTAYCTTTCCCACCTGGGTCAGTCTGTGGGCGCCCCCTGCACACAACTAGTCCTCGGTGTGGTTGAACAGGGYGTCTGCGGTGGGGTTTTTGCGGTGGGATGGGGGCACCAGGTGGTCCGGCAGCTCGCCGGGCAGCTCATAGCCCTCCAGTTTGATCTTGATGAGGTGCTGAGCGAGCGCGAACTCCTCGTCGTCCAGCATGCCGTCCTGGTCGCAGTCGGCCAGCTTCCAGATCTTGCCCAGCACGGTGTTGGGGAGCCGGGAGTTCATCATCTCTTTCTTTGCGTTGACGCCGGTGATCTTCCCGTTGACGGGCATCAGCGTGTAGAAGATCTCATCGTAGCGGTGTTTGTCCCGGCTGATGATCCAGTCCTCGGTGTCCGCCCCGGCGCTGACGCCCTCGCCGTAGCCCTGACCGAAGGGCCCGTCCTGGGAGCCCTCGAAGGCCCCGCCCGACACCATGGCCGGGGGCTGCTTGGACTCCTCCTCCCGGATCATGGCCATCAGGACGGCGATCTTCGTGGCCAACATCTTATCCACCGACTCGATCAGCTTCACCTTCAGCGAGGGAAACTTGCTGAAGTCGTAGTGCTGCAGCATGTCCTGCAAATACAAACCAGATCAGACCGCGGACCAGATCCTAAACCCTGGACGCTCTTAGACCAGTGGTTCCCAAAGCTGGGGTGGGGACCCTAACGTGGGTCACAAAACACCAAGTGAGGGTCCGCCCAGTAGTGTGGTAGTCAAGACAACCTAACCCGAGACGCAGTGGTGGGCACCAGTCCGCTAAAGCACAAATCCGCTAATTGCAGACCTAAATATTTAGTTTGTGCTTTAGCGGTCTTACTAATATTTACAATTCATTAGCGGATTTGCGCTTTCAAAAATTAAAATGCAGTACCGCTAATAACTAATTATCTACCAGTCGTCATTATGTTGAACAGCAGAAGGTATGACTGTCAATGAATCACAACACGTGACCTAACAGCACCCGTCCCGTCTCTGAAAGTGAAGCTCTGCAGATTTTACAAATTGCTTCATGCTTTCTCCTGGTTGTTGTTCTTTTACAAACACATAGTTTATGTAGCCAAATTGTTTTACTTCATATTTTGCAGACATCTTCTACCACCGCCAGAGAACCATGGTTCACTTTCCTGGAGTGCTGCCTGCGAGGGACGGAGGGGATGGGTGACATCGTAACAAAAATACATAAATACCAAAGAGTCAGGTTTGGATTTGAATCAAAGCTACATTTTAAATCCAATAAAAACAAGAATGTTAACTAATAAACTGGACAATAATCTGGATATTTAGTGATATTTCC